ATCAGTAGCAAAACTGGAAAGTTTGCGAATCTAAAATGTAATTTATATTTTTATCTGTTGTTAAAATGTTAATACTTATCCCACATAAAAAAGATACTAGAGTAAATTATAGTAAACACTACAGCATTCTTAACTATACTATAGCAAGTTATATTATAGTACTTGCAACTATTCAATTCAATTCAGCTTTATTTGTATAGAGCTTTTACAATGTAAATTAAATCAAAGCAGCTTCACATAAAAGGTCATAGTAAATTGAAACAGTGTAGTTCAGTTTTCAGAGTCTAAGTTTAGTTCAGTTTAGCTCAGTTCAGTGTGGTTAATAATCATTACTGAGAGTCCAAACACTGAAGAGCAAATCTCAGCTCTACAAATCCCGAACCATGTAAGCTAGTGGAGACAGCGGAGAGGGAAAAACTTCACCAATTGGCAAAAGTAAAGAATTAAAAAACCTAGAGAAAAACCAGGCTCAGTTGGGTATGACCAATTCTTCACTGACCAAACGTCTTGTGCAAAGCTGCGGTCAAAGTGCCGGAGGCAGGAAGCTGGACCTCATGCTCTCCACTCCTCCATGACCACCAACACAGCAGCTGCTCAGGATACGGCCTGGTGCAAGATATGAAAACCTTGGGATCATCTTGTCAATAGTCTTGGATCGAATCAGTGGTGCTGCATAATCTGAGGACCTTGGGATGAGTATCCCCAGGTGGAAATGGAGAATAAAGAGAATAATTAGCGTAGCTGCTGTTCATAGTGTATATAAACAAGATGCAGAAGTCTGTGTGGAACCCGCTAGGTGATGCATTGAGTGTATGCTTTACTAAACAGAAAGGTCTTTAATCTAGTTTTGAACTGGGAGAGTGTGTCTGAGCCTCGGATGTTATCAGGAAGGCTATTCCAGAGTGTAGGAGCCATGAAAGAGAAGGCTCGACCTCCTTTACTTGATTTTGCTATTCTAGGTACTACCAGAAGCCCTGAATTTTGAGATCTTAAAGAGCGAGTTGGTTCGTAGCGAGACAGAAGGTTGGTTAGATAAACAGGAGCTAGATTATTTAGAGCTTTATAGGTGAGAAGTAATATTTTAAATTCAATACGAAATTTAACAGGCAGCCAGTGTAAGGAGGATAAAATTGGGGTGATATGATCATATTTTCTAGACCTGGTCAGAACTCTGGCTGCTGCATTTTGTACTAATTGAAGTTTGTTAATAGAGGATGCTGGGCAGCCAGCAAATAGAGCATTACAGTAATCCAGCCTAGAAGTCATAAAAGCATGGACTAGCTTTTCTGCATCTGAGATGGATAGCATATTTCGTAATTTAGCGATATTTCTCAGATGAAAGAAGGCAGTTTTTGTGACATGGGATATATGGTTTTTAAAAGTTAGATTGCTGTCTAATATGACACCCAGATCTTTTATAGTAGAGCTAAAGCTAACTCTGTATCCCTTTAATTGTAGATTGAGCTGTGAGATCTGCTGTGTACAGGATTTTGGCCCAATAGGTAATAATTCTCTTTTGTCTGAGTTTAAGAGAAAAAAAAAAAAGGTTGGCCATCCAACTTTAACATCCTTAATACACATACAAAAACATTTGAGTTGTTATTAAAATATGCATCATATGTTATGGGATTAATAACTATAATAAAATGAACACGAATGAATTCAACCAACATAATTTTTTTCTGCAATACTACAACTGTAATTTGTACTACATGAACCTTCATTCATTCATTTTCTTGTCAGCTTAGTCCCTTTATTAATTCTGGGTCGCCACAGCGCAATGAACTGCCAACTAATCCAGCAAGTTTTTACACAGCAGATACCCTTCCAGCCGTAACCCATCTCTGGGAATACTACTACATGGACCAATTAAACTATTGGTTAATCTGTGTCAATGGGAGTAGTATTTTAAACAGAAAACCATGACTAAATCAATAACCATAAACAAATATAAAAACATGAACAAAGACGTTCGCAAGGTTGCAAAAGTTAATAGTAAAATCCACAAAAGATGAAAAGGCAACTTGCACTATTGTTCTCTTTTTGGTAATAAAAGAACCTGTTTATCAAGTGTGATGTTCATGGAAGTGTGATGGACTTTTCTTGAATACCAAGCATAGTTAGAATTTTTCTGTCAAAACAATGACTCGTATCTTTCAATCCAACTGATTTTGCATGACATGCAGGTGTTTTTGAACATTTAATTCACTCGCAAGCAAAGGATGTAAAGCGAAAGCATGTTGTTTTGTAATTATGCTGCTGCTCACAACCTGACAAATAAACAAAACAATCATGTAAAATAATAATAAAAAACTCCAGTGTTGACTTGAAATGAAATCAAGTTAATTTAATTTCTAGAACATTCACACTATACATAACCTAAGTGATTCATTTTCTGTAGAATGTTACCAAAAATAAAAATATAGAAAAAGCATGACTGTTTCAGCATTCTGTCATGATAGATTAGGGGAAGGTTTGTTTATTTTTAATCACAGACTCTGATTTAGTGATAAGCTTCTCCTCAATGGATACACACTGTCGTAGCTCAGTTTCCCCAGCCCTGCACATTTGCGCTCACACCGTTTCTGTTCTCAGATCAGTCAGAGTAACCTGTGTGATGATCCTTCAGCACAGCTTCACACATCCAGACAGAGTCCTGCTGTGGTTTATATTAGTAACCTGAGCTCCGCTGTATGAGGATCTGATGGAGGAACCTGCAGAACCACAAAGTTTCCTCTGAGCTTCTCAATGACCGGGCAAAAAGATGAAGAACTGAAGCAAACAGCTTTACCATGGCCACACAGGAAAACACAGAAGACTAAAGTACTTTCCATTTGCTAAGGAAAGCATGGATCAAGTATTTGCATATCTCCACAGTTTGAGTATTTTGGAACAAATTGTTTATACAAACACATGAATTTCAGATATTGAAACAGATTCAGCAGGTCAGGCAGGATTAATGATAGTGCAGCTCTATTCAGGCCAACAATTCTTTCATTTCAGTTTGAAGCACAGTGTAGAGCAGACACCAACACTTCTGCATCATTTGAAGGATTCAGTGTTTACAAGGCATCAAACCGGAGTATTTTATTAAAGTCAACGTGAGAAATTCTTCAGATCCATCATAGCATCTAGAGTCACTTGTACCACATAATCCATTTAATCCACTTGTAATCAGCGTACATGAATTTTACTCCATTACCCTCTCCAACACAAACGTCAGGCCACCTTTGCCATTAAACCTTTAAATTAGGTTTGATATTGTCAAGTGATGCTTGGAAAACAGCAAAGTTAGAACTCAAGTGAATCAACAATTCATCAATTTTCACTTTTCCTCCATCTAGATGTTCAGGTTGGATGAATGTGAACGAATTATGATCATGTGACTAGCGCATTATAAAATCCCTTATTTTTTCCACTCAATGTCTGTTGTTGAAAATGGCTCAATGATCAGTCTCTCTCATCCATTATTGTGACATCACTTCCTTTGGATCAAGAGTCTATGGTAAGTTCCTTTAGCAGCAGAGGGCAGTGTTTCTCCAATCTCAGCTCATTCCTGCAGCAGTTGTGCTTCATTTGCAGCATTTTAAAACGTACATCTCTGTACATTGAGATTTTGTTCCTGAGTGTATATTAAGATGTCCATGAGGGTTTGAGTGTTTAGGGTTGAGGGGTGCAGGTGAGCTTTTCCAGCAATGTTAGCACTGTTGCTCTGTGTAGCCTTTGATGCATCAGAGATTAGTTGTTTTGAATGCTGCATAACTGTGCAGACACATTTCTCCAGTTTTCTGTATTTCATCATGACATGTCCAGCAAATGTCCAAGCCAAAGAGTCCTACTGAAGATTGCAGTTTCATTTCAGCATTTAAAGCTGAGTGATTCAGTTACTGATTGAATCCATGCTGGCAGAAATTAGGAAGCTCAAGTGAAGTTTGTCCAGAGGATTGAGTTAAACGGAGGAACAGTCAGCTCTTTTTATTTGGAGAAAGCAAAACCTTCAGTGCAACATTGGAGTTGCAGGTTGGATTCGATTGCTGGAAGCTTCCATAAAATGTGCACATGATTAGTCTTTCACTTTCCGCATGGACTGAGTTTCCCTAGTGTTGTACTGGTGTTGGTCTCGTGTTGTCATGAGGAGAAACCTGTCAAACAGAAGCTGACATCACTGAACAATACTGCAGTGTCTTCATGGAGGATTATGGTCACTGTCAGAAGATTCTCCAAGGTAAATGACTGACATTCAGTTGTTCAAACCAGCTGGATGAATAATTAAAGTGTCAGTATCTGCTGGATGAAGATGTTCTTTAATCTGGGACTCTGATTCTCCATGAAGTCAGATGAGTTCACCTCAGCCCTGCAGTATTCGAAGTGTTGAATAATGGGTTATTTTGGGAGCAATAACTGGTTTAGAACTTCTTCTACAGTCTAACGTCTGTCAGAGGGAAACAAAAAGTATTTCATGCAATGAAATGCATACAATTTTTTAAAGACATAAAATATGGTCATGAAATGAGAATGTAAATTTAGCAAGAATTACAAATGCATCATTCATCTCTACAAAGTATATCTGACCCTGACACACAACTTCTGTTTTGTGTATTTATATATAAAAAAAAAAAAATGCATTTGAAATTTTCATTTAGAAAGGGCATGACTTGTTAAATAGAAACAGAGCATGCATAAGGCAGTTGAAATATGGAGACAAAAAATAAATAAAAAAAATTGTAATAAATGCAATTAAAAATAGAAAAAAAATCATGCGTTTAGTGTATACGTTTATAATATGCATAACACTAAATTAATGCATGAATATTTTTTTAAAAAGGCCTACAAAAATCAAAGACATTTAAAAGCAAAAAAACATTATGCATGCCTTAAAAATAAAATAGCCATCCATTTATAAAATGTGCATGCATTTAAAAGGCAATTAAAATTATGCACACAATTAAAAACAAATAGCCTGCATTACACTTTTAAAAGAAAACTGCATACAATTATTGTTACCAGACATTTCTGCATCTTTTCTATAGTTGTCCAGCAGGTCAGCTGAAGGGTCTTTGGTGAGCTGCTGTCTCCTAAACCCAGAGAAAGAGGCATGCATTAAATACTAGGCATGCTTTTATAAAAAGGGCATAAAAATGTAAAAAAAAAATTTAAATCTTTACAAAAAAAATGCATGCATTTAAAATAAAAATGTTAACATTTATAGGCATGAAGAAATTAATGCATGCATAAAATTAAAATCATGCAAAAAAAAAAAAAAGGCAAAGGCAGAAATCCATTCTCATGCATGCATTTTTTTTTTAACTGCATAAAATAAAGGCATTGTTACCAGGCATTCTGCATCTTTTCTAGTACATCTCCTAAACCCAAAACTAAAACAATCAGTTTCATATGAATATTTTTAGATCGAATAGTTCACCTGTTTTTTTTTTTTTTTTTTTTTTTTTTTTTTTTTTTTTTTTTTTTTTTATATATATAAACATGACTAAAGACAAATATCGAAACATGCATTTTTTTTTTTTTAAACGGCATGCAATTGGGGGGGGGGATATATAATACATTCATCAAGGCATGCATTTTTAGGGAAGGCCACATACATGCATTTATAAAGGGCATACAAATAAAATAAATAATGCAATTAAATGTAAGAATACATACAAAAATGCATGATTTGTAAATTTTTTTATTTATTTATTTTTTTTAATAAGAACAGAGGCATGAAATCGATGCATGCATAATTTAAATGCATACAAAAATTCAGAAATGAATTTATGCAATCATAAATTCAAAAAAAGCAGATTTATACAAAGGGGCATGCACTTAATTGCATGCAATTGAAAATGGGGGGCATTAAATTAAAAGCACGCATTTAATTAAATGCATTTATAAAAAAAAGAAAACAGGTATGCAATTAAACAATGCATGCATACAGCATGCATTTAAAAAAAGCATGCAATTAAATAAAATGCATTTATATAAACAAGCATGCATTCATAAAAAAAATGCATGCAAATAATTTATAATAAACTAAATGAATGCAATCAAAAATATATATGCATAACAGCATAATTAATGGATGCATAAAGCATGCAATAAAAAAAGTCATGCGTTTAAATGTGTATAAAAAATGCATAGGAAAAAGCATTTATAAATAGTTTTAAATGTATCCAATAAATTAATTTATCAAATCAATGGCATTATAAAAAAATGCATTGAATTATAAATGTTATTACACAGTAGCCAATATTTGAAGGACCAAAACCTGTTTTATTAGTCCCAAAGCAATTCAAAACTAGTAACAATCTAACTTTTAAATTCCACTTCAAACTGGATTTCTGTAAATAAACAAACATGCAATTATAAAAAAATGCATGTATATACAGAACAGATAAATGTTTACACTTAATACATTAAGCACGCAATGGTGAATATAATGAATAAACGCATGCATAAAGATCTAAAATAGATAAGAGTGCATTATTATGTGGAGATGCCACAGGCTTGATCCAATAATCTGAGCAAGTAACAGCTCTCATAACAAAAAGGAAAACAGGGTAGATGAAGACTCACCTGATGATGAGGGATCCCACTGCAAAGAGAAATGGAATCTGTTATTTGCAAATATTATGAGTCAAAAGGCACAGTCAGAGATCAGATATTTACACACCCATTTACCTCCTTCAAGCCTCATTTCCTGAAGGGTCTCTGTAGGACCACAGTGATTATGACTCTTTGCATTTCTATGAAGCCGGTGTTTGATCCACCGTTCAGCATAAACGTCAGATTGCTCGACAGTAGGTGTCACAAGCAGACCTTCAGGAATCCAACAGATATTACTTAGACACCACAGCGAAGAATAAAGTACCGGTCACTTTAAAAGTGCTTGGTGAAATGCACAACTGATGGTTTAAAGATCAATACCTTAGTTTCTTCTTGGGGTCCTTGATTTTGGAACACCAGGCCGACGCAAAATGACACAGATTCCCAAAAATATACATTCACGCTGCAAAAATTTCCATCGCTAAATGTATTGCAATCACAAGCAACCCAGTATTGAACACATCTGTGTCTGACACAGTTTTGCATTTAAATGGATAAAGCAAGTAGAGATCTGGTCTACACTGATGAACCCCTGCACTCTAAAAGATGGACATCTCAGGACCACTTAGGAAGCATTTTATAATTGGACTATGCCTATACTGTAATTATTGCTTTCTAGAGAAACAATCTTATTATAATCTTCATACTAACCTTTAAACACGTGTTGCATAGCAATTAAATACAAAAATGTGCACTGTGCATATCTGGCCGGCATCCCTTATTGTAGTCTACAGGTTGTATAATTGTAATGTTAACATGAATCAGGGAACACCATGCAATAAATCAAGGCCAATCAAAGAGATCATGAACAGACAGCCCAGATTTCAACAGCAGGCATTACGGTGTCAACACCAACATGTAAACCAGATTTGACTAATAGCAGGTCTGCATAGTGTGGACAAGGTGGAACCATTAAAAAGGCACAAAAAATGTAAACCAACAAAAGCAATGCACAATGAAAACAGCGTTCATGTGTCAAGAGCATACTTTGCACAATCTGACTAGGCAGATCAAATCCAACATACAAAAGCCAAAACAGGTGGAGAACAGAAGGACAAGAGCGACTGCCATGTATGACGAGTTTAGAAAGATGTTATGAGCTTGTGTATTATTGGAGATTGTCCTATCCCTTAAAATTTAAGATTTCAGATTTTGCAATAAGTAAAAAAAAAAAAAAAAAAAAACTGACCAAGGGGGGGAGAAAAAAAAAAAAAAAAAAGAAAAGAAAAAGCGCATCAAATATCTTCTCAACTGCAATTAGATTTCTAAATACAGGGTTTAGCAGTATGAATTGAGTTAATGTAGTTCTTACTGTGCTTAATGTGATGTTGAATGTGTTGCATTTTTATTTTTTTGGTGTGAGCACTGGATAAAGGTTGTGATGAATCCAAAGATAAAAGTTTCCACTTGTGGACAGTAAAGTTAAAAATCTGACCTGTTTAAAGTCCAGCGTTTGCTCCTCTGTTCTTGAAGGATGTCAGATGACTGCAGCAAATAAAAACAGGAGGTGATCCCCGTTTCATGGAAATGAGTCCTCACATGGCTGAAGTTTTCACATCACGCTTTGATATCCATATTGGTTTAATGGGTGTAATATGAATACACTTTTAAAAAATAAAAATAAACAAGACATGTTTTAATAAACCATGCTGCTCTTTAACATTAAGATTTCAGTGCATCTTCCACCAAGCATCTAGATTCACACTTGATAAATATCTACAGGTCAGTTATTTTGATCTCTATGTTAGAGTTACCGCTGTCTGAATAGCTCAACCTAGCAGATTTGGAAACGCCTATGCATAACCATAACTTTACAATACTCCCTGAGGAATACTCCAATGTGGTGTAATGCCTGCAGTTGGTGTGTCATGGTTAATCATGATTAAAGCCTGCATTCTAGATGAAGCAGAAGTCTTCAACTTGCCTATTTAGCAAACCAGAGCCTAATGTAGTCAAGTCAAACCTGTTGCATTACTGCTTTGCATTAAGGACAATCACAATCCTGGATCTCATTTATCTTATGCTGCCAGCATAAATCATTCACCATTTAAAAATAATAATAAAACCTGACAGAGGACATTCAACACTGACTGAAACATATTCAAGTTTGCAGGGTCTTTAAACCAGGCCCGTCTTCTGCACACAGTCACATCTTCTGTGTTGGGCATGTGGTGTCAAAGAACCTCAGATCACTGAGATGAAGGAAATATCAGGTTGGACTGGGTGATTCAACCAAAATGAAAACCATAAACAACGGAGCAAACCTGTGGTATTGTCAAAAGCAGCATGATAGTCTGCTCAGTGGTAAATGTCTGAAGGCTAAACAGCACTCGCATAGAAACTTCTAATACTTAAGTAACATTTAATGGCTGTCATTGACTCAATGCAACTAATAAACTACAGAAGCTCTGAAGAGGATTTACTCGCTTATGAAGCATATAGTTGAAACTTGTGGTAACTTTGAATGCAGCATTTACTAGAGTAGTAAGTTTCACAAAATCCCAATGTAATAGCTTTGAATTTAGTTTTCTACATGCTGGAGGTTTACAAGAATTAGCTATATACATAAACCTTAATCTCCCAGCCCTACAAGCAGGTAGTAAACTGGGTAATTTTTTTTTATTTTTTATTAAATCATCATACCTTGTCAGGAACTTGAAATGGTAGATTTGAGCATGTTTTCCTTGTATGGCCCAGGCAGTCACACAGGGGTCTTCAAACCAGTCAATTCCACTTATTTCAATAGTAAGAACCACTCTTAAAAATCAAGCAGAATTAGAGGGGGGAGAAAAAAAAAAAAAAAAAAATCAACATTAACATGCTGCTCAAAAACTTCAGTGTTGCCAGGTTCACCACAAAAATTTGCCCCCAAAAAGGTAAACTATGTACCTAACAAAATTGCTCAAAATCAAACTCCAGTATTGCCAGTCACTACACTAAAATAGCCCCAAAATATAACTCAATCTAGAAAAAAAAAAAAAGTTAGTTCTAACTCTAAACTTAAAATACATTGCACAATGCATTATATGCAGGGTCTTTTTTTTCTTTTCCATGTTGGATAGAGATTGAGCAGGGGAGGTATTTAAAAAAAAGGGGGGGGGGGGGGGTCTGATTTGGCCCACAGACACGGCAACACAGACAAACACATCCAATAATAGAACAATGTCCAATGCACATCTCAGACAGCATAAGCAGTGCTGGTTACACCTCTGCATGAGACTAAATTTATTCTTCAGCACTTACAATATTCCACCATGAAGCGCAAACATTGAAACTATAGTATGTGACAAACCAACTACATGGATTCTCAAAGCAACCATATTGAGGGCCTCTCAGAATCATTGATTTAGAAAAAGCAGAATACACAAGCTGGATGAGAACTGTTGTGCCACCTACACAATTCAGTGTTTTGCACGTCAAACTTGAGATCCAAAGTACCTTAAAGTCCGATAGCAGCAACTAGTGCATGCCAAAGTTAGGAAGTCTTATACCTTAGGTCCACTTTTTTTTTTTTTAAAAGGGCAATCTCTGGGCCTTGTGGTAGGTGCACCACAAGCCTATTTAAAAAGAAAAATAAATAAATAAAGTCTGAAGCAAGAACGATTCTTGCATACCTTACCAGAATTCTTCCTTGTGGACTTTATCAACTCTGATGAACACATGGCTCAGGATTTCATAAAGAGGTCCTCAAAACGGTCTAAATTCCATCAAGTATATACTTACCATCCAATCAGAGATAATGTAGAGTGAAGCAAAGAAAAAAGCCGTAAAGAAAATGGAGTGACTGCATGAACAGTGAAACATTCAAGTCTTTAAAAGACAAGCCAAAAATGTACAATTAAGCATTTATCAATGTGGCTTGACCAACCTTCCCTACACTGATTAAGTGTGCACACTGCTGAAAGAATTTATACCTTCTACGTGGTCATGATGCTGGGGTACCCCTGTCTGAACACAATGGCTTGTGTAATCGGTATGACGCACCTCACTGACTCTACCCTGATCTACCGGTACCGAAATGTTCATTTAGTAAACATAGGTTGGTCAGAAGCTACAATGATATGCCTACATTCTCCAATCATGGAGGTTCAATTTATTAAGCATTACAGACCAGAATGTACAGTGAAAAGTGTCAAAACTCCACACAGGCTTAAAATCAATAGTTTTTGCACAAGTGGGTGCTCCAAGGACCCTAAAGATCACGCCCTCTAGTGGCTGTTGCATCGAGATCATGGGAGTAATGTTTATCAGCATTGCACTTACCAGCTGGGCCCAATTACATAAACACGGTCTATAATCTTCACTAATGCTGCCAGGTTTGTTTTTAAACCAAGCATGTTTGTCTGACCATGGGAGAACATGCAGAAGCAGGCCTGGAAGAACAGAAGGTGTAAGATACTTACATGACAACTCTGGATCCTTGCATGATGGAGATGAGCAAAGAGACTTACAGGTCCACACACAGTCAAACCACTCAACTAACATTAGTTTCAAATCCAAACACTTGAAATTACCAAATTTAAAGTTGGGAGGAAAAAAAAAAAAAAGCTCTGCATTCGCCATGAAGCAGATAAAGGTCTCTCAGCCAGACCTCGTTAATAGATTAATAAACCAGAAAACGAAGTGAAAGCAGTCAGTTAAAACTCCATGTGGTAGGTTGTCCAATCACAAACCTGGGCTAGTCAGCCTTCACATTTTATATTGACAGCAAATAAACAAGATATCTACCAGTTCAAGAGTTCACACTTAGATATTGCTTGACAGCTGTAAGCAGGTTTGGCATGCTGTCCCGGGAGAGAACCCTGAGCTCAGAGATAGTTGAGCCCAGGGCTCCCGCCAGGTCCATAGAGCATGTGAGGGGAGTACGAGATCAGGTGGTTCTCGAGAGCTCCCCTTTTTGTAAAGGAGAAAAGGAGGAGAAAGGGGTGGATGGGGGGTTTCTTCGGAAAACGAAGATAAGGGAGTAATGTCTAGCTAGGCTACTTATAGTGGGTTAGGATAGATCTGATTGGCTAACTAATGAGTGTAGATAGGTGGCCAGCTGCTGTCAATTATATCACGTGCTCCTCTCGAAATTAGTTTAAAAACTTCACTTCAAGAGTTCACACTTAGATATTGCTTGACAGCTGTAAGCAGGTTTGGCATGCTGTCCCGGGAGAGAACCCTGAGCTCAGAGATAGTTGAGCCCAGGGCTCCCGCCAGGTCCATAGAGCATGTGAGGGGAGTACGAGATCAGGTGGTTCTCGAGAGCTCCCCAAATGCATGAAGCTCGGGACAGCAGCCGTGTATTCAAAGAAACTCCCCAAAAGGCTTGAAATGCTATATCCGGCTGCTGGATATAGTTATTTGAAAAAGAAAAGGTAAAGAGGGCTCCTTTGGAGCAAAGGGTGAAACAGGTTCCTGCGGGAACCCGAGCAGAGTTGGCTTGGGCTGTGAATACTCCTGCTGGAGTAGAGACTCGGGGAGACCCCTGCGGGGGTCAGAGCCATGGGGTGGGCGGGAATCCTGCTGGAGTCATTACAAGGGAAGGGGAGTGAAGGACTCCGGCTGGAGAGGGGGGTGAAGAGGGGCAGGGGGGGCGGGGACTCCAAAGGAGTAATTTGCTCGAGGAACACTCCTTGCGGAGATTGAGCTGGGAGGTGGCAGCACTATATATAATTATATATTTATATGAAACATATAGATATATAAATATATAATGGGGTAATCTAGGGCCTTGGGGGGGCGTTTTTACTGACTCTTGCGAGAGTCGAAGCTCTTGGCTCTCCTGCGGGAGAGAGAGATGTATGTGCCATCTCCAGCTGGAGTCGGGAAAAGGAATGGTCGGTGAAGCCCCAGCTGAAGGGGGAAATGGCAGTTGGGCGATGACCCCTGCGGGGGTCCGGTGCTCGGGATTAACTCCGCGGGAGTTAGAGCTTGAGGGTGACAGCACTATATATAAATATATATTTATATGCGTGGGTGCATATATATATACATATATATAAATAAATTTAAAAAATAAAAGATAAGTGTGAGAAATAAACAAAAATAAACATAAATAAAAGCTAGGGCCGGGGAGGGTCGGTGACATGACTCGTGTCACAGCTCGGGGTTGGGTGAGCTATT